GAATAAATAGAACTGCTACGTGCTGGGGAAGAGGGCTGTCTGAATCGCCAGGGAACGCTTTATGCCATTGAACTAGTATGACAAATGTGTATGATTGATTAACACTCATAGATGCAGTATTGTTCTCTTGTCTCTTCTTCTTCTTCTTCTTCTTTTTCTTCTGCTTCTTCTTCTTCTTCTTCTTTCCGAATCTTTAATGTTCGTTGGTACGGATGCCAAACGCCTCTTTTCATCTCCTTGATTGTCTTTCTCTTTTCACTTGGGTGACTTTGAGCGTTTGTAGTTCTGCCTGAAAATTATCTCACCGCCATCTTCTTGGTCAGCTTTACTAGTTTAACAAGATGGGCTGTCCTACGGACGGATAGATAGCAATAGCAGCAGTAATCGTAGACGGATAGATAGAGGTAGCAGCAGTAATCGTAGCAGCAATTGTAATAGTAGCTGTAGTCATAGCAGTAGTAATATTCGTTGCAGTAGTAGTGGTGGTAGTAGTAGTAGCAGCAGCAGAAGTAGTAGCAGCAGCAGCAGCAGCAGCAGTCATCGATACCCTGCTCAATCCTTCAGAGTTGTAACTGGGATATATTTAACATAAATTACACCTAGCTGAACTATGTTGTATTACTGTACATTTTATATATAAAGTGTAAGTTCTTCTGTGCAGATACTTTACTGATGCAATTTCTCTTGCCCCACAGGAATAGGATCTACGGCTTGTACCTGAAAAATATAGAAAATGAATCACGGGTGAGTAGCTTTGACTATTTTGTTGAACATAGCCAGTTGTTTTTAGTCAAATGCTTATTGCACTCTTACATGTGAATGTTGATTCTGTAGATGAGCTTATCTGTGCACCACAATTGTGTTTCTTCTTCTTCTTCTTCTTCTTCTTCTTCTTCTTCTTCTTCTTCTTCTTCTTCTTCTTCTTCTTCTTCTTCTTCTTCTTCTTCTTCTTCTTCTTCTTCTGCTGCTGCTGCTGCTGCTGCTGCTGCTGCTGCTGCTGCTGCTTCACACATTACGATTTCATAATAGTGATGTCCACGAAAGTCTGACATTTTACACCTCAAAGCATTATCTCCTAAGGCTTTACAGGACAAAATCTTAGTGTCGTTTTGTCCGTTCTATTAACAAATAATTTTAGTACGACTAACAAGACAGAATCACTTCTCTTTTACTTTTCAACTCTCTTTTCCAGCGCATTAGAATCACGAACGCCTACACAAACTATCTTGTCTTTTCTTCCTGATGTCATCGGGGATTGAGATTTCTCTCGTGTGGCAGGTCTGTCTGTGCGGCTGCCGAGATCCTCAACACGGGCTGTCTTGTCTATCAAGGTTACTGAGTTAAAGTTTGACGTTTCTATAGATGGTATTCCCTTATTCCAGAACTGTGATATCCACATGCACTTTTTCTTACCGTGGAAAACTGCATTTCCCTACTTGTTCTACTTCTTTTTATGGTGGTGTATGGCAGGGGAAGGGATTATCTTGAGTTCGACGATTTAGCGACATATGGCTGGTCTACATCAAGATAACAGATCAAATGGTTTAGACTTGTGTCAAGTCTACCATCAGACATTGCACCACAGAGAGTCGTGACACTTAGTCATAATGGAAGCTGAACCAGAGTTCGACCACGCATGCGATGGATAGATGGATATCCGATGCCCTAACTTCCGGCATCTTCGTAGCTCATAAGAAGGCTCTCACCCGATGCCTTTGCAATACCTTACCTGACGCTGAAAGGTAATATTAGAGAAGAAGAAGATGGCTACTGCAGTATTCTAGACAAGAGAAGATGACGACGAATATGATGATGAAAGCTAGTGCATTAGTCACCTAATGTTGCCGCCGGCCTACCACGGCTTTTCTTTTAATTTGACTTCATTTGGACCAGACCAACAACTTTTGTCGGGAACCGATGATTCAAATCCGAGTCTCTGGCATGAGACCCCGGAATGCTAGCCTCTCGGCCAGCCACTTATGCAGTGACAAGTGGTGCTCTGTTTTCTACACCTCAGCACGCTACTCCTACACATCTTCGTCCTCCTCGTACTTCGCCTCCACCACTAAGAGGTGCCGTTTGGATTTTCCTTCTTTGAGTTGTAACCATATTATCCTTTCACATTCACCTCAGCAACGTAACGTTAGTCACCGTGTGTGGCTTAGGTTTTGTGAAAGCGCTTCGTAAGGCCGAGGTGCCTGCTTCGATCCCAGCTGCAGATGATATGTCAACAGACCGCCTTGCATTGTTTTCGACAATGACAGAATGCTAAACTACTGAACGTAAAATTTGCCTATAAAAATCACTACACCCACACACAAAATGCCGTAAAGGACACGCAACAAACTTTAAAAAAAAAACACACATAATTTAACACTGTTTTAACATTCCGTTAGCCTTTGCTATCTGTTTCCCCTATGTATTGATTGTGTAAACCAGTGATTCCCAAACTGTGCGCCGCAAAATATTTGAAGATACACGAGTTGTATTTGTTTGAATCTCTTACACACGAATAGTCATACTTTGACTTAGGATAAGCACCGTGGAAAATTTTTAGTTGAAAAAAGGCACCTCGACTAAGAAAAGTTTTGGAAACACTGATGTAAACTATTTCATAAGTGCTTTTAGTTTAAACTGACTAACGGGGTGCTCTATGTAACTGTAATATCAATCAATCAGGTACCGACTCCACAGTGATGGGTAGCTGCAACCGCCAACACGCTGTCTCGTGTCCTGGTTATACACTGTCTCAGACTCCAGCCCGACCATCTCTTGATGTTGTCCTGCCACTTGTACCTCTTGCTCTCTTGCCTTCCACCTTTCCCTCTAGTCTGGGTTTTTTAAGTGTTTCAAGTTTCTTTTGTATTTTTTTCAGTCATTTTTTTTTTTCATCTGTAGCCTTTCCACAACCTCTGTGTTGTTTTTGTTTCCATAAAATATGACCTATTACTCTGTATGCCCACATCTCCAGAGACTCAATTCGATTTTCTAATTGCCTGTTCATTGTCCGTCGGCTCTGTGGCTAAGTCGATGCGATCGCTTCGTAATGCCGGGATGCTGGTTTCGATCCCAGCTACGGGCCATGCGCCTTGTGTTGGTTTCAGTAGTATCAAGAAAGCCGACCGTCCAGAAGCAGTGGCAAACTACTGGACGTATTTGCCTTTTTGCAACGTCCTGTAAAGAATACGCAACTAACCTGTTCATTGTCCAAGTTTCTGCACCACATGGCAGGACTGAGTATACATAATATTTGACTATTCTCATTTCGTGTGTGTTGTTTATCTCCCTAGCTGTCAGTAACATGCAAAGTAATTGTAATAACCTTCTAATCAACAGAGATTGAAACAAGACTTCAAGCCAAAAACTCAGAATGTCTACCAGTGTAAAATCAATGGCAAGTTGGAGGTAAGTACAGACTATGCCAAAATTGACTGCACAATATATTTGTTTATTCTTCTGCATTTGACATAAGCCATGCAAAACATGATCTCCTGTCTATTGGGTCTCAAGCTGGTTGAAGACAGACCCCTACAACTTGCCTTGTAATGTGGCTTTTATTTTTGTGTGGCCCGACTCCCAACCTTTGCTGCTAGTACTTAGACCAGTACTGAACTACCTGCTCAAGGCTCTGTCTGCCTTATAAGTAAAGTAAAAAAAAAAAGTAAAGGACCCTTTTCCACGCCATCAGGTGTATAGGGCATATAGGGCTAGACCTATATTTTTATATCCAATCGGCACAAGATGGGTGATGTGGTCAGCATCACGCCGGCTACCTTTACTTTCCATGGACTGCACCCGGTACCCAATCAAGGCTGGGTCGACCTGGGAGCCAAGGTCATTTTTTTAAGTCTACCTTATGCTTGGAAATAAAAGCGGATTTGTGGGGGTCAGGGGGAAGGGGGAACTACAAATGTGATGGCTTGTCCTATGAGTCAACTAACTGAGTGTTTCCTTCAAAGTCAGAGTGCATCTATCTGCTTGAGAGGCAAGCAACCAAAAACTGCATAGAAACAAATAAGTCAGATATGCAAAACGGATGTGCTTGCAAGACTCAGGTTATGGAACAAGACTAAAGTCTAGAGATGAACAACCAGAACTTTCTGCTGGAAACTGCCTGTGAATTACCCTGTGTGGGTTCCAGGGCCCTATTATAGTGAAAACAAGAATAGACCCACTGCCTACCCAAAAGCATGTCGTAGGACTAGACTAATTGGGAGCTTCCTTAGAAGTCGGAGTGCATCTGCCTAAGAGGCAAGGAACCAACAGTCTGCACACAAATGTGTCAAATCTGTCAAATGGATACACTCGCAACACTCAGGTTCTGAAACAGGACTGCAGTCCAGAAGTGGACGAACAACCAGAACTTTCCACCAGAGTTTACAGCTGGTGATCGCAAAGAAAAAGAAGCCTGTGAATGTAAAGAAGAAGATAATGAAATAATATTTAAGAATGTGTGAATGTGGATCCGGTAAGAAGGCACATATGAGAGAAAGCAAATGACGTGTGTATAATCAGTGTGCTTGCTACGGGAACAATTTGCATCTACACCTTAATACATTTGCTGTGGGAGACTGATCTTTTGTGGGTGAGTCTGGTGTGCTATAATGTCAATTTTGAACTCACTAATATGTTTGCATTCACAATTGACAAGTTTTCTTTATACCCTGTATTTTGTGTAAGTGTACTCTCTAAGACTACATTGCTTGTCCAAAGCTAAAAACTGTTGTTTGTTCTTTCCTGTTAAATTTGTTTGTGCACAGAATGAAAGATGCATAGGAAGGGGTAAAAAAGGGGGGGGGGGGGGGAGAGATGCTTCTAATATATGTATTATGTTTGGTAACTGGGTTCTATTTCTTGCAGCAATGTGTATTTCTGTTATCCATCCTTGAACCATCATCTGTCCTAATGTTATTTTTTTGTTTTTGTTTTTCCAGAATCCTGACTGTCAGAACCACATACGGTTTCTGGTTAGGAACACCACGGTGCCAAACACATTCTACATGTGTGCCACGGGAGCCTACAACCCAGTGGCATATCAGTTAAAGGTGGGTCAGTAACATAAATACAGCTGTTTTTGTTTTCTTCTTCTTCTTCTTCTTCTTCTTCTTCTTCTTCTTCTTCTTCTTCTTCTTCTTCTTCTTCTTCTTCTTCTTCTTCTTCTTCCCTTTATCCCCAATAGTAAAGTAAAGGACCCTTTTCCATGTCTTCAGGTGTATTGGGAATAAAGTGCTAGACCGATATTGCATAGATAAATTTTAACTTGATTGGGGGTATGGTCAACATCATGTCTGCCACGTTTGCTTTCCTGGACTTTACCTGGTACCCATTTTAGGCTAGGTCGATCTGGGAGCCATGGTCATATTTTTTTTTTTTTTATCAGGCTTGAGGTGGAACCCACAACCTTCGTGCCTGAGGGGAGCACCCAGCTGCTAGACCACAGCGGCTCCCATTCCCAGAAGGCACTCCACCAAGTTGTACCAAGTGGTACTTTTCTTTGCCATTGAGTACATTTCACCCCTTATCATCCCCAGCTTTTTCACCTTGTTCTTTAGTTTCCTTCTAGGTGTGTGTGTTTTTTTTCCCTGCCATTTTAAAACTCTTTCAATACCAGGAAACACACTGAGTTCATTGGTTGGCCCATACCTCATTTTTTTACTTATTTTAACTTACTCTCCTCCCCATGCTGTTACCACTTTAAAGCCATATACACTGGGTGAGATGTAAATAATTTAACAATTGCTAGTGACAGAATGAGCATTAGCAACAAATGTCTGGGCTAGGAATGAGTTCCTCCTTAAAAGAGAGTTTGGTTATAAAACAGTTGTATGAGACTGATGCACTAATATTGTGGGAGTGAAAAGAGTAATTTACTTTTCACTTTACAGTGTTTCTAATTTCGTAATCACAGAAAAAATTTACTGAAGGTTAGTTAAAGGTAACAGTCATCACAAAATTCACTCATTGTTTGCTATTTATATCATGTAACAGTTTCAGAGCTTGTCTAATTATTTACCATTTTATATATCAAATTACATTTACAGTTGGAGAATGACAGGTTTGCTGTGCTGAAAGATGACCTGAGTGGGCTTGGCGTTTGTCCATATGACCCTAATGATAACACCACAGTCATTCTTGTAGGTGAGTATTGAAGGTACAGCAGGCAACCTACAGAAGTGTGCCAGGAATTGCTGCTTTATAAGTAATCCTGGATAAGCTCAGTTAATGTAAAGTTAGACTGTAGACATGAAAGAAGGCAAACATTTCCGATTTATAAATATTAATTCTAATTGTTTGCCTGTCAATAATTTTTAACACAGTCAAAATATGTTTATGTCCCATTTTGATCTCAGAATCAAACATAGATTTAAGTCACGAACTGTAGCGCACTGCGTATGTACACATGTTTGTTGTTACTGTACCACATTTACCTGGAATATGACCAAACGAGTGGTGTGTGTTACACCTGCTGCAAGTACATATTTGCTTTTTTGTGTATCTGTTTTGTTATCTGTGTAATCAAACAGTACAATTAGTTTATATACTTGCAGTGGAGCTTTAAGTACAAAGAAATCAAATTATTTTTTAGATATTGTGTATCATTTGCAACATGGAGCCAAAGAAAAAAAAGAAAGAAGAGAAGAAGAAAATTATAATAGAGATTAAGAAAGAGATTGTGTGATAATATGTGAAAAGAGTCAGGCAAACTGATTTGTGCAAGCAGTATAACTTGTCCAAGTCCATCACAGCTACAGTTCTTAAGAATACTAATTTTTTTTTTTAATAATGAACTGGACGTAGCCAAAGAAGTATCTGTCATGTCATGAGGAAGAAGTAGTTATGGAAACACTTCTACTCATCTTGATTGATGCCATCCACTACCAGTATCAAAGACATTGGGGAAGTTTAAAGCTAGCAAAGGATGATTTGAGAAATTCAAGCATACAACCAGTATCCATAGTGTTGTTAGACATGAAGAAAGTGCTGGTGACAACCAGCAAAACAAAAGCAGCTGAAAAGGTCATGAAAGAATTTCAGAAGCTGGTCAAGTCAGTTGTTTTAGAGCAGAACAAGTTTTCAGCTGCGATTAAACTTGGCTTTTTATCCAAGAAGAAATGCTTAAGAGAACAGTTAAAAGGAAATAGCTTTGCCAGGACGTAAGCCGATGAAAGACAGAATAACTTTGCTCTTTTGTGCCAGTGTCTGTGGTGATCTAAAGATAATATTTCTGTTAGTTTATCACTCTGGAAATCTTAGTCTTTAAATAAGAACATTAACAGACACAACTCAACTTTTGTTGGAAACATAACAGCAGAGCTTATGTAACCAGGCATTTTATTTGAGAATGGGTTAATTGATCTCTCATAAGATATAAGGGGAAATTGGGTTTCGAGGTACAAACTGTCCAAGGCACGAACTACAGTCAGAAATAAATTTGGTTCATTAGTCTAGGTACCACTGTATTGTCTGATGTTTTATATATGTATATAATGTTTGCTTTTTTCAGTTCACTGTGTTCTTTCTTTATTTCTCACCTCCACAGAGAAGAATTCTCCTGGCAATGTCCCATCACTGTTTGCTGGATCAGTCACAGATTTCGTCAAATCAGACCCAATCATTTTTCGTCCCTTTGTGTACTTGCCAAATGGGATGCTTGAGGCACCATATGTTAGAACACCTAGAGCCAGAAATGACTGGCTGAATGGTAAGTGAACTTTTCACAACAAAAGTTGTAGACAGGTCTGGTACACAGTACTGACCTTTCTTTTTATTTTAAGGTATCTTTTTTTTTTTAGGGCTACTGTAATAGAAACTTTGTGGTGAGTATTAGCACCATTTTATCTCTAGGAAAAAAAAGAACAAGCCCTAATAATAGATCTGTTTGTAATGTTTTTAGTCAGGCCTTCAAACAAATTTTAAATTATTCTAAAATAAACATTGCTTGTTAGTTTACATTCTTGTTAGGCACTTTTCCAGACGATAGTGCTTTATTGTGCTATGAGGAGGCTTGGGACTCACAGCCCATGGTGAGTGTGACTAGCAAGACCTGTCCTTATTAAGAAAGGTCTTCCACAGTTAAAGCATGGAATTTCAGAACCATTATTGTCATCATTTGTATTTAGTGTGTTTGTTCCCAGATGCTCAGCTCTCATCCTTTCTGTAGTCTTATCTTTCTTCATTCTCATTCCCTTCCTGATGTGCCCCCTCCGTGCAACACGGTCCGTGGCATTTTGTTCCCACAAGTCCATCTCAGTACTTTTGTCATTTATGTCTTGCTTGTCCATATCTTTACCTCATAACAGAAGTCAGCCTCGACATCTTCTACCCATCTGTAATTCACCATAGAGGATGTCCTTAGAGACTCTGGCATCCTCCATTCTTCAAGTGTGACCCAGCCACCTGCCCCTTCCTAGACTGAGCATTGAGAAAACTGTTGTAGTACCTGATTTTTTCCAATACCTCAGTGTTTGTGATCTTATCTTGCCTCTTAATGCCAAATATTCTTATTAGGCATCGCATGGGAAAGCTGTTTAGCTGTTCCTCCTAGTGCGAATAAGTTGACCAAGTTTCACTGCCATAAAGCAGAGCACTAAAAACACAAGCCTGATAGATGAGTTTTTGTTTTAATTATGATCTTTCTGTTCTCCTAAACTCTTTTTGCTAATCTACTCATTGTTGTTGCTGCCTTACCTATACTGATGTTGATTTCTTGGTCCAGCGATAGTTTGTTATTCACTCTGGATCCCAGATAGGTAAATTGGTCAGCTGTTTGCAGCTCTTCACCGTCAATGTAGACTGTAGATATGTCATTAACACCTTGCACCATAACCTTTGTCTTCTTTTTGTTCGTTGTTAGTCCAAATTCACAGCATGCATCAGCAAATGCAGACAGTAAACTTTGCAGATCCTCCTCTGAGTGGGTGGTTATTGCTGTATTATGTGCTAACAGCAGATCACTGATAAATACTTTCCTTATCTAGTTTTGGCTTTCAGCCTATGAGCATTGTAAAGGCTATAATCAGATGAAGAATGGATGAATATACCACCCTTCTTATCTTTAAAAGCATGTTTCAAAAGAAGTGAGAAGTGCTTCACTCCATTGATGATTACAAACTCCTCTGATGTGGCACTGTCAAAGTTGATTGTACCTTTCATACCTGTGTGGAATGACTCAGTAATGCCTCTGGGTAGGTGGACACCCAGTCTTCTTCAGCGTGTTGAGCAGACATTTTCATGTTGAGCAGACTTTTTGGACTAAACAAATTAAATGCCTTGGTAAATTCAATAAAAGCAATATACAGTAGTTGATTTTGTTCACTGCATTTCCCTGTAATTGTGGTTTAAAAAAATATCATATCAGTGGTTGACCAGTTCCCACGAAAGCCACACTGGGACTCTGGGTAAACCTCGTCTCCTAGGATCTGGAGTCTTCGTAGAACAATTTTCATAAGTACCTTTCCAACAGTACATACCAGTGTATTCCCCTGTAGTTATTGCAGTCACTATGATCGCACTTATTCTTATATATAGTTATAAATTACTCTTGAATCTTTGAAGTCTTGCAGAACCTGTCCCTCACGCAAGCAGAGTCTTATTATATACTATCATATTTCTGACTTATTCATGGAGATCTTTGTTTAGTGTTTACACATGACCTCTGCAATAGCAGCTTTCATGAATTTCATCTTTACTGCGATTGTCTTGCCTTCCAGAACCACAGTTTGTTGGGTCATTTGATGTGGGCGAATATGTGTATTTCTTCTACCGAGAAGTGGCTTTGGAATACACCAATTGTGGCAAAAAGATCTACTCAAGGGTGGCAAGAGTTTGCAAGGTAAGTAAGACTTAAACTTTTAATGGGTGTATGGTTTTTTCCTGTTTCCACATGTTACAATAAAACTTCTCTCTCTCTCTCTCTCTCTCTCTCTCTCTCTTCTCTCTCTCTCTCTCTCTCTCTCTCTCTCTCTCTCTCTCTCTCTCTCTCTCTCTCTCTCTCTCTCTCTCTCTTTCTCTCTACTCTCCTCTCACTCTCTTTTTGTTATGTGTATGTTAAGTGTTGAGCTAAAAACTGACATCACAACACTCAGGATGTTCCAGTAAGTGCTCAGTCCTCATCTTCAGCAGCCAGTGAAGAGTTCCAATCCCCTTGGTGTCAGTAGCAGTTTGATTATAAGTCTGTCTGGCTTTTTTTATTTTCTTTAGTTCCTGTGTTTGTCATCTGTCTTTGTATTCTTTATTTACTGTAAAATCTAAAGGTGTTTTTTCCCCATGTAAACTAGCCTTCATGAGGGTTAAAATTACCCAAATATCAAAGTCCAGAACAGAATCTGTATCTCAGTTTCCAGAGGGTTTCGGACAGCTGACCAGTCAGTTCATTTTTTTTATTTTAACTCTTTCAGTCCCAAACAACGTGTGATGTGTGATTAGCCCTTCAGTTGATCCCACCCAAAATGTAATATGTTCTAGTCCTTCTTATAGTTGGTCACATTATACTAAGAAATCTGGCTTACCCAGTGTTTAGCATCTTTGAACGCAATACATTTGTGGCTTTTCCTGTTGCTTATTTATACATATGGAAACCTCGAGTAAAACCTTCTGGCACTCAAAGAGTTAACTAATGTTTCCTTTTACATAAACCTTGCATCTTCTTCTCTTCTTTTACAGAATGATTATGGTGGGAGTAATACACTTCAGAATATCTGGATTTCATTCCTAAAAGCCAGATTGAACTGCTCAATACCAGGAGAATATCCATACTACTTTGATGAAATACGTACGTCTAATCACCGTGTTTTATATTTTTAAGTATACAGTTGATGTAAACATATTTTTAACTTTAAAACTTAATGACAACTGGCAAACTCTGTGGGTTTAAAAGGCAAGGGGAAGACATGGAGATAAATACCTAGATGACTTGACTGTTTGGTATCTATGAGACAAGAGCATAGACCTGACTTGACACTGGTGATTGTTTGAGATGCTGAGCCATGACCTGTCACGCATATCAGCATAGCACAGGATGATGATGATTTATAAACCTTACATTGAGATATTCTAGAAATATGTGCAGAGTTGTTGGCATTACAGATATTTTGTTCATATTTTATTAAAATATTCAATAGAGTTGATAAAATTCATTTTTTTTAAAGGGATAAAGATAGGCCGGTTTGATAATTAACTTGCCACAGTGAGCAGTGTTATACAGAGGTAACAGAGCCACAGGACAACCATGCAAAAGATGGACTGCAGAAATATCTGAGACACTGAAAAATACTATATGCCAGGTGAGCAGAAGGGCTCGCTCCAGAGATATCTTCCTGCCCTGATGCTGTGAGTTATTCCAGAATAAAGAAAAGAAGAAGTGAAGATAATTATTTAAAATAAATACACATGTTATCAATTGTACAACTTTGATTTTCAGAGGATGTTTACAAAGTCGGAGATACATTTTATGGACTCTTTACAACAAATATGTAAGTAGCCTGCTGATAGAGATTTTGCTTTGATACAGACTTTGTTTTCCAGTGTGATTCTTTGGAGTTTGAACTGGTCTTGAACCTCCTGACCCTGTCTCTTAAAGGCAGTGTGAAAGATGTGCTCTAGTAGACACAGCTGAGAAACATAAAGTACTCATCTTCTTTTTTTGTATTCTGAACCCTTGAGGTTCTTTGCTGGAGATATCGCCAGCCTACATTTATTTCTGTTATCAATCTTCTCTTTCCATTTGGTGGCTCCAAGTGTTTGTAGGTCTACTTGGATGTTATCTCTTTGGTCTGCCTCATGGTTTACAGTTCCCTTGGGGCTGCGTGATCTCGAGGCATGGTGTCCGCCTCGAGTGCTAGAGGTTCAGGGTTCAATCCCCGGTAAGGGTAGGGATTTTTTTCATATGTACTTGGACTTCTAATAATTCCCCCTGGTCTCTGGGTATTGAGATTAGACGTCCGTGTGCATTGTTATACACGTAAATAATCCCTTGGCAGCTGGAAATTGAAAAGAGTAGCCTAATGGCGCTGCCCGGGCAAAATTTGAGTTAAAAATCTACCCAAAAATATTTCAGGATCCTTGTCTGTGCTACAGAGCCTGTGCACTGTGCTGAGCTTCTTCGGACTCTGACTTTAGTTAGAAGAAGAACGGAGCACTTATGGGTTACTACCTGTGTGCCATGATTTTGATCAGTTGTTCAAAATACACAATTTTTGTCTCTCTATCATCTGCATACTATATACTGTTTGGCATGTATATCCATTTTACTGGCATTTTTGTGTGCAGTTGTTTGTTCCTTGCCACTCGGGCAGATGTGCTGTGACTTTAAAGGAAGCATCCAATTAGTCAACTCCTACTGCATGCTTGTTGGGTAGTCATTGGGTCTATTCTTGTTTTCCCCTACAATGAGGCCCCAGAACCCACACAATGAGGCCGCAGAACCCACACAGGGAAATTCAGATTTGAATCCTAAACCTTCAGCTATGCTACCACAGCTATTTTTTTTTCTCTACTAGTGTGTACCAAATCTGAATATCAAGGAGGTTGGCTGGTAAACAGCATCCTCTCTCAGAAACTGAAATATTTAGGCCATATCAAATGCTACGACAGATTGGAACAAATCATAGCAGAAATAATACTAAAGAAATGCAGGGGCTGAGCAGAATAAAGATTGCAACAGGATATAAATGACACCTTGGGTAGGACAGTGCACAAGGTGGGAGAGCTGGCAAGAGAGCTAATTTCTTTCAGTCAGACCGTGATGAGACTGATGTCCTGTAAAGGATAGCAGAAGTACCAGGAAAGAAGGGAAAGAAGGCTGAGCAGCAGGAAGATGGACACAGGATATAGATTACACCTTGGGTTGGAGGAAAGTGCACAAGGTGGGAAAGCTGGCAAGAGACCCAGTCTCTTTCAGTCAGACCGGGATGAGACTGATGTCCTGTAAAGGATAGCAGAAGTACCAGGAAAGAAGGGTAGGGGCTGAGCAGCAGGAAGATGGACACAGGATATAGATTACACCTTGGGTAGGAAAGTGAACAAGGTGGGAAAGCTGGCAAGAGACCCAGTTTCTTTCAGGCAGACCGTGATGAGAGCAATGTCCTCTAAAGGACCTACTACATGATGTAAAGGACCCTTTTTCACACCTTGGGGTGTATTAGGCATATAGGGCTAGACCTATACTTTATAGACCAATGGCACTCTGTGGGTGATATGGTCAACATCATGCCAGCCGCCTTTACTTTCCAGGACTGTACCTGGTACCCATTTAAGGCTGGGAGCCAAGATCATATTTTTTTTTAAACGTCTGGCTCCGCCAGGACCCTAACCCACAACTTTCCAATCCCCAGGTAAGTGTCTAGCCACTACACCACAGTGGCTCACTCTGCTACATGATGAGTTTAGTTTATCTTTTTACTATAATTAGTCATTGATTCATATGTTTTCTCTCATTTTCCTGTTGAATGTGACCTTTGTTGTGTTTTATTTTTTTAGGAATGGGTTGACAGCTTCTGCTATTTGTGGCTTCAACATGCGAGATATTCACAGAGCTTTTGATGGTCCATTTAAAGATCAGAAGGACAAACAATCCATTTGGTTACCTTTAACGGATGGAGAGGTACCTCACCCTCGACCTGGAGATGTAAGAATTTGTAGAAAACAGTCAATATTATGAAAGTGCTCGGTGCATGGTAGTCCTCTGTGCCTGATGTTAACTGTTTCAGGCCTATCAATTTTGACAGACTTAGCTCGCATCAATTTTTCTTTACAAAAATGGCAGAGGGTGTATAGTAAAATAAAGGCAATAGAGAATGTAATTTATTTCAAATCCCTATACAAATAGTAGTCGGCTCTGTGGCTAAGTCGATGTGAACGCTTTGTGATGCCGGGTTTGATCCCAGCTGTGGGCCATGCGCCTTGCGCTGGTTTCGAAAGTGGTATCAAGAAAGCTAACTGTCCAGAAAGCAATGGCAAACTACTGGATGTAAATTTGCCTAGAAAAACCACACGACAGTCAGGGGCTGTTGGGGTTGGTTCTGCAACGTCCTGTAAAGGATGCGCAACTAACCTTTTTTATACAAGTACATATATATATATATGTTTGTTTTTTTAAGAGGAATTAATGTATATTTTGAATTTGAATGATATATTAGTGGGGGAAAAAAATTTGACAGGCATTGTGTTTACAAAATAATTCTTCATTTACCCAAGAAAAGTATATATCCAAATTTAAAAATAACACTTTGAAGTTTGTTAAATTTCTCAACACATTCAAAAGTTACGGCAAGTTTCTGGGTTAGTTTATCATTCAGAGGCTTTAGGTTCTTACAGAGTGCTGCACACAATTTGAAGAAACAATAGTATGGCAGAAAAATCAACCTATACCTACAAAATGTTTACTTTGTACAGTATTATAAAAACTGTTCTAAAAATTTACAAAAAGAGTAGACCCACTGCCCTTAAACAAGCATGTAGTAAGAATACTAATTGGGGAAATTCCTTCTAAGTCAAATCGCATCTGCCTGAAAGGTGAGGAAACAACAGCCTGCATTCAAATAAACCAGATCTGTAAAACGGATATGCATGCAAAACTCGGGGTATGGAACAAAACTAAAGTCCAGAAGTGGATGAACAACCTGAACTTTCTGCTAAAGTTTACAGCCAGTAAACACAACAAAAAAACAAAGAATACAGACTGTGTAGCTGCAATGATTTCAATGTAGGTTAGCCACAGTATGGCACCATTTGAAACAGTCCTTTGGATATAAATGTGAATGACTGTCCTAAATGCAGAAGCAATGGAACATCTGTGGCTTAGGTATTGTGAACGCACATCGTAATTCTGAGGTTTGATCCCAGCTGCAGGCAATTAGACAGCAGACCTGCTTGTATTGGTTTCATCAGTGGTGTCGAGAACCAACCATTTAGCAAGCAGTGGCAAACTGCTGAATGTAAAATCATAGACAGCCACAAGATGTTGATAAAATTATAACTAGACTGTGTAATACAATTGTTATTACAAATGTTTTGATGCAGTGTAAAAAAGCCAGCAGCCTGAACAAGGAAAGCAACCTTCACCAAGCTTTCACGAGTTTTATATCACGGTCAAGCATGCTCATGGACAAAGCTGTTTCTCACACATTTGGAAAACCAATCTTTTACAAGAGCAACTGTTTGATGCAAAAACTGGTGGTTGTTCAGAATGTTGCCGGTCACGGAGAACTAGTTTTCTTTACAGCTTCAAGTAAGTAATATGAATTTGTCTGCATTTACCTCAAAATTAACATTTTGTTTGAATTTATCAGACACATGGAAACTTTTGATTTTGAAGAAGTACTGTATGTTGTAGGTTAGTTGCGTATTCTTTACAGGACGTTGCAGAACCAACCCCAACAGCCCCTGGCTGTTGTATGTTTTTTCTAGGCAAATTTACGTCCAGTAGTTTGCCATCTGTTTGTCATAACAGGGCTTAAAAATAATAAAGCAACTGGTGCTGATGGAATTGCAGCTGAACTTTTAAAAGAAGGTGGTCATGCATTACATGTAAAGATATATGAATTAATAAAACTAATTTGCAAGATGGAGAAACTACCCCATGAATGGAAAGTGTCTTTATCAATAACTATTTTTAAGAAAAGAGACATGTATAAGTTTGAAAATTATAGAGGAATATCACTATTATCTACAAGCTATAAGATACTATCGTCGGTACTGCTAAACTGGCTAAAACTATACGTCGAAGACATACTGGGAGATTACCAAGCGGGTTTCCGACAAAACAGATCAAAAATAGATCAGATATTCATTTTACGGCAAATAGCAGAGCAAAATTGGGAATATAGAAGAGATGTACATAATGTATTTGTGGATTTTAAAAAGCCGTATGATAGTGTGCATAGAAACAGTTTATGGAATGCTGTGAAGGACTTTGGAATACCAAACAAGTTAATCACTATGACCAAACTGTGTATGGTAGACACTCATAATACAGTATTGTATAAAGGCAGAAAGTTTCACAGGACTTAGTGACTCACAGGTTGCCACCATGACACAATAGTAGCAGGCTCATGTGCTTAGTGGTCATAGCTTTCAAGCCCTCGATTTTTGTAAAAGCTGACCAAGACTCCAGATTTCTTCTGCTGCTTCTTATTTTTTTTTTTTTTTTTTTTAAGGCAGTTTCAGAAAATTATATGGATACATTTGTTATTTTGTTTTGTTTTTCTTTTTGGTCTATTCCCCCCTCCCTCCCCCAACAGGGCCAAAAGACTGAAACAGGGGAAGTTTTAATACATCAACATTAATTAGTGATGCTGTTGTATTATTATGTGATAATTTAAATATTTTATGAATCACTAATAAAATCTAATCACAATTCATGTTAATTTTTTTTTAATACTGCTGTCAAACTTATAATGATATTCTGTTTATTGATGATTGATTAGATTAGGATTCGTTTTTGCTTTTAATTTCATTTTTATCTGGTAGAATACATCATAATTATTTCCTTAATAAATGCATTCCTTAACTGTAAATGTAACCGAAATATAAATTGTGGATTTCTGTCATCACATCAAAATACTCCCACCATTTTTATTCTTTTTTTTCTGATGTACCTGTTTTCTGGCAACATAGTTACCAAACCTAGTTACCATATCATATTGTTCCTATTTTTTTTTCTTCAGATAATGGCTTACTATACAAAATAGCTGCCTGGCCAGGTCTGACCCCACTTGATGCACCCAAAACATATGTGGTGACTAACTACATTCCATTTAGTGATAGCAGGCCAATATGGACTCTCATATTGCATGTAAGTATAGCATCTTTGAGGGCTTTTAGACTGCAATGGTTTTTATGTATAGAAAACAATTGCAGAAAACAGGCAGAAACTGCATACACAAAGAGCTGAATGGAAATAGACCATGAAGATGGTTGAGATGCTCCCTGTATGGGTTATGGGGCTCTGTTATAGGGAAAACAAGAATAGACCCACTGCCTACCTAAAAGCATGTTGTAAGAGTCAACTAATGGGGAGCCTCCTTCAAAGTCAGAGTGCAACTGTCTGAGAGGCAAGGAACCAGCAGTCTGCTTACAGATGAGTCAGATCTGTAAAACGCATGCACATGCAACACTCAGGTTCTGAAAAAACAACAAGAACTTTCTGCCAGAGTTTACAGCTGGTGAACGTGAAGAAAACAAAGAAGAAGAATGTGGAGATGTAATAATCAGGCAGATCTACAAACACTTGGAGTCACCAGCTGGACATAGAAAGCCAATCACGGAGACGAACTGAGGTGGGTGATATGTGCAGCAATGAAATTCCAGGGCAAAAATGAACCGAACAGTGCATTCTTGAAATAAATCCACATCATTCAGAGTGTCAGGTTTTTTCTTCATGTTCACCTGCTGTAAACTCCAGCAGGAAAGTGGAATGTTGAATTAAGAATTGATATAACAGCTCTGGACACTCCCCTTTACTAGGAGGAACAGTAGGTCTGTTCTGCCCCCTCTTGCCCCCCCCCCCCCCCCCCCACCCGACCCTCTTCCTGTCACAATGGGACGCCAGAACCTACATGGAAAAGAGCACATGGCAATCAGTTTGATTATTTCGCTACAGAGACCCTTAAATGACTTCCTTATGGACCACTAACCACGGAGACCCTCCTGGCTTTGTGGCTGTTTTTGGTAGGGGTTGATGTGTGGCTCCGCTTTGAGCCATCTTCAGCCAGCTAGCGTAAAGTTCCAATACTGATGGTGCCAGTTGCAGTCTGATTATGTATCCATTTCTCTTGTAGTTCTTGAACGAAAACAAGACACCCTACCCCCTAATAAGCATGTCAAAAGCTGAATAATTAGTTGTGCCTACTTCAAAGTCGGAGTGCGTCTGGAACCAACAGTCTGCATAAAAATTAGCCAGATCTGTAAAATGGATGTGCACACAAAACTCATGTCCTGGAACCAGATTTATATTCAGAAGTGGACAAACAACCAGAACTTTCCATTAGAGTTTATAGCTGATGAATGTGAAGAAGAAGAAGAAGAAGAAGAAATGTCCATCTGGCCTTTCCTAAGTGTTGATTGTCAAGCAGATCCCCTGGTAACTCCCTCCTGCACCAGTCTGTCCAGAACATGAGGTTCTGTTCGCTCTTCTACAGTGTTTCCATGAGAGAAAGTGGCAAGTCCACTTGAAGTCTCTTGTCATAGCTGGTTGAGTGAGTGTTGAGGTCTACTTATAAGAATCCCAAGAACTATGGTGATAAATGATTAGCTTGCTTGCACAATAGTTGAGTGAGCAAATCTCCAACAAGGCAGACATTTGTTTAATTGACTAAGAATTCAAGGCTGATTGAGTGTAAAAATGGGTACAGCAAATGTTTTGGAAGTAAAGAATGCTGAAATAGTAACTGTTTTACCTTAGGAAAGCCAATTGCTAAAACAATATATGAAGCTTGCACCATAAGCCCAACCAACAGCCTCAGGTAAGCCATAACAAAAAATGCCTCCTTACTCACCAAGGAGTTTAAGACTACTGACAGTTATTATTGATATGTTGTACTGTGTTCTGCAGGATTCATGGATATACTTTGGTACTGATATGGCTGTGGGCCAGATTGCAGTTCAGACCTGTGACAAGTACAAAAAAATTGACCTGTGCATATATGACCCATATTGTGGTTGGGTTGCTACATTGGGAGAGTGCAGGTCTAATGAAAATAAAAAGTAAGTAGGTCACATACTCTGATGCCCTTTGAAAAATCGAAGGACTAAAATTGTATTACCTAATCACTGATGCAGATCCTAGGGAGAGAACTTGACAACTGTCACCATATCAAGAGGTGAAGAACAGATGCTGACTCTAGATATAACACACACTGAGGTTGGGTTGATTTGAGGATCTATGTTCCATCAAAGATTGAAATGAGAAAGAGATGGAGATCAAACCCATAATTTGTTAATAATTTATTCATTTTTAAAAATTAAAACTTGGCATTGTTTTCCTCTGACAGCTCAAAAACGATTACTATGCTGCATCGGTCAGTGCAGGAACTGTTAGGCTTTCCTGTTGTTTTTTATTTGATCAGAATGATTCTGTTGAATATTTTGTTTGGCCGGGGTGTGGCAGAAACTGACAATAACATTATTTTTCAAAAGTGTTCTTACTTTTGTGGTACTATTCTTCTTTGCCAGTTCAACTCTTTGAGGCCCAGGGGTTTTAGCACCACAGGCTAGGGGGTAGTAAAGAAAGTAATAAAATTGGTGCATCATGCGTTCATTGGGCTTCTGGGTATGAACATAGGATGCGTTCTTTGGGACTCAAAGAGGTAATCATATGTCCTTCTCTGTAGTCTGCAAGTATTTATTTAGTCTTTTATGCTTGCTAAATAATTAATAATTAAATTTAATTCATTTGATATGTCTTTAATGGCTTCAGTTGGGATACCATCTGGACCAGCAGTTTTCACATCCTTCAGATGTTTAAGAATTGTACTGATTTCTACTACTGATGATACCTCACACTTGATATCTAACTCCAGTTCTGCAGGTTGGACATTGTGAAGATATTTTGGAATCATTCTATTCAGAAGTGCCTAAAAGTATTTAACCCACCTGTTCATTTGACTTTTAATGTAGTGAGAAATGTCCATTGTTAATTTTTTATTCCATTCTAACTTCTGTGTTCTTTTCATGGATTTACAGTTTTAACTTATATTTTTGACTTCTTTATTGCTTAAATTCCAGTTTGATCAACTATGCTAAAATAGACCTGCTGTCATACTCACTTGAGGAAGCTATCAAAAAACATGTGGGAGAACTATATGGTAAGAAAATGTAATGGTGTGTAATTCATTATTTTATATTCAACACATTTTTACATATAGAATTTACATAGATGTCATAGTCACAATTTTATCAACCTAATTTTCCTATCGAGGTGAGTACATGTCACCTAGTTATAGGTCTTTCTGTCATTTAACACTATTTATAACTGATATTGTCATTTTTTATTTTTATTTTTTTATTTTTTAGTTAGCTGTTAGTTTTTTAATTTTTTATCTTGCCAAAAAATAAAAATATTTATTTTTCCAGGGCAGTTCTTATTTGACTGTCTGCAAAGTTTCTTGCATCAGATGTTACAACTGTTGTAAGATAGTTGTACTTTCTTCTTCTTCATCTTTTTCTTGTGTATAAAACTGAATCCTAAAAAGCAGAGTGCATTGCATCAGAACTAGCCATGCAGTCCTAAATCATTAGGCTGAAAGACCTCTCCACCTTACACCACAAAAGTGGTAAATACAAGCAATAACTGGCAGGTTGTTTTTAGTTTTTGCAGGTGTGTGTTAACTTGTGCATGTCTTAGTGATTACAGAATCATCAAATCAGTCAGATACTGTCTTCACAATGAAGGAAGACCGACTGCGCTGGATCTCCACTGACTCTCTGTCTCTCTTGATTGCATGCTTTCTCAGACAGCTGTTCACAATTTTCTTGGTGTTTTGTCATCCTACTTGTATCCTGTCTACCTCTTACACGCCTGCTTTTCAAAATTTAATTTCAGTTTGTTGTTTTTTTTAAATAAAAGTCATACATCTTTCAGTGTGGCTGAGTCAGCCCACCCACACTGGACTACAAGTTGCTTCACAATCATTTTCCAGTGCCTCATAAAACTGCTATCTCACTTAGGGTTTGAATTGGATTTATGGGATTTCCAACTTTTTGATTCTCATCTTTGAGAATCCTACAGACTAATCCTGGAGGGCAAAAACTATTTTTAAAAATGATATGGCTGAAATATTTAACGTTTCTGTTAGGTAAGTTATAAATTGTACATAATTTTATAAAGGGCAAATTATCTGTGGTTTAATAAATTATGCTTCATTTATCATTGTTATAAAAGAAAATGTAATATGTAGTCTACTTATGGAAACCTGTCAACCCAAGAGTCTTGATTTAGAATCTACATTGAGACAGATTTGTTGTATCAGGGAGATAACAAACAGAATAGGACAGGCTAAAACTGCTTTTTATATAATGAAAAACATACAGTAAATCCATGTTACTGGAGGCTAGAAAAAGAATTCTGGTATGCTATAAAGAGCCAGATTTTTCATATGGCTGTGAATTCTGGACAATTAAGAAACAAGCCAAACAATTTCATGAGGCCTCTGGAATATGGTTTTACAGAAGAATCCTTAGACTTCCTTGTACAGCCACACACAAAAATGCAACCTAGATGTTTTGAAATGAAAGAGGGGAAGGCTTGAAAACAACTTATTGCAAACACCAGAAAGAGACTAGCATGCTTGCCTGTCAACACAAGCGACCTAGTTTTGAATCAACTGAGGCGGTTATTTTTTTTAAAACCTACCTACAATGCCCTGGAAAGTAAAGATGGCTTTAACTGATACTACCTCATCATTCTTTGAATAGTAGTTGGTCTGTACAACTTTGGGTCTAGCACCATATGTTCGTAAAGCCAGTTGGCATATGTTTTACTTGCTCACATTTACTTTAAGAAAATAGCATCTGGGAAACTGCATTTATTATTGAAGAGTGAGGGTCTTAGGGACAGTCAAAAGAGTGCAACAGCTCCAGATGGTTTAACAGGATTCCTGAATTGTTAATTTTTGGTTATAGTTGTTTTATCATCTGGGAGCCCCTGTGGTGTAAGCCTGCGCTCTTAAGGTCTTGGGTTCAAATCCAAATGGAGCTGAACTGGTTTTTTTTTTTTCTAAATGACCTTGGCTCCCAGCTCAGCCCAGCCTCAAATGAGGACTAGGTCAAGTCACGGGAAATATAGGCAGATGGCGTCATGTTGACCGTATCACCCACTGAGTACTGATTGGTCTATAAAATATAGGTGTAGCCCTATATGCCTAAAGCACGTAAAGGCGTGGAAAGTGGTCCTCTACTTTATATTACTTTATAATCTATTCCTGTCATTCGTTTGTTTCAGTATTTGAAAAGCTTTCCAAGACAGCAGGAAGTTCAGTGACTTTGCGGGTGGAGTATCGACTTCATATTACCGGCAGCGTGAAGTGGACCAGGAATGGAACTAGTGTCAATGATGATAGGCACATCTTGGCACAAGACAACTCTCTTATAATAACCGATCTTCGACAGACAGACGAGGGGCAGTATATTGCAACAGATAACCTTGGGAGAACTGTGGCAGAGTATTCTCTTGCTGTAGAAACAAGTAAGTTATACATATGTGTAACAGATTTTATACTGCGTAATGCAGTGCTCCAAACCCTTTTTTTGTGCCATGCCCCACCTAAGCCTTTCTAAAATTCTTATGATTCCATGTAACATCGCCAGATTAAACTTCATTCTTGTTCCAGAACTCTAGTTTTGTGTGCACATCCATTTTACAGATCTGGCTTATCTGTATGCAGACTGTTTGTCCTTTGCATCTCAGATAGATGTACTCCAACTTTAAAAGAAACCCCTAATTAGTCACCTTCTACGACATGCTTGTTGAAAAAGTGGGGGGGGGGGGGGGTTAGTGAATGTGTACCCCCCCCCCCCCCCAAATAATGTAGCTCTATAACCTACATAGGGATGATGCCATCAGTATCATGTTGACCACCTTTACTTTCCAGAGTATTAACTGGCATAATCATTAAGCTCAGTCAACATAGGAGCCCAGATTCCCCATCTCATAGTATCACCAACAGATGACAAATGGGGTGTACTGGTTTAGGTAATCTTTGTGAAATTGTTTCATGTAGCGCTTGGATATTGGTTTTCTCAGCCACCCATGATTGAAATTATTAGGATTAACAAACAAATATAACATCACAGTGTCAATAAATATATGAACACAACTTAAAAAGGCAAACATGTTTTCTTATCTTGTACAGACAAAGAGCAGATTGAACAAAGATGGATGCGCAAATTTGACCAGTGGTGTGATGAGTTTGAACGATATCAGGAAGATATCCGACAGTGGGTGAGTAGAAACAATAAGTTTGGTTTCCACATTATTTTTGTATAGAAATGGTGAGAAAATATCTGCTGTGCGAGAAACTCAGAAAATAACCTAAGATAAAGATCATTATCTGAAAATGTAAATATTTTACTAATTTTATTAAAAGTGATAAGAAAGAAATTGCACAACATTTGCACATAGGGCAGGAGAGATTAATTCAGACCTACCTGTACAAAAGTAATGCACTTGAGCATCAGTTTTTACTGTTTCATATGCTTAAATAATTGTCAGTGGTTATGCATGGAAGTCAGATTTAGCTCTTTTTTTTTTCTTACCTCCATAAGTGTTCAATTTTCTCTCATAACTTGAACTCAGCACTGCCAAGTTTTATCACAGTAGCATTCTTGTCCTCAAGAACTTTCCACCAGAGTTAACAGCCGGTAAATGTGAAGAAGAAGAGAGATTTCAACACTTTGATGTCAATTCTCTTGATGCTGTATGAAAGCTGTACTTCACTTTTCATGTTTAGATACAAATAAAAAAATTAAATTACTACAACTGTTCATTTTCTAAATGATTTGCTTTATGTCACAATTGTAGAACATTTTGAAATTTGGTAACACTCCGCATGGATCTGGTAGTTAAAAGTTTGTTTTTTCTTCCATTTATGTCTGTAGTAAGCCAAATAACATTTTGGCTTTGCTGACGGAAACAAATGTCTTGAAGTACCTTATCAATAATACACATCTTCTGCTTTGCTGTATCAGTAGCAGACTATGCCAGTTTGTTTATTTATTTAGTCAGACAGGAATGTAAATTGAGCAAACAGTATCTTCTCAGGTGATATATAGAGACAAAGAAAACTGCACTAAATTGGGCACATCCATAGATAAAATGAGCAGAGACATCAGCAAACAGACACTGAAACAGGAAAGAAATAGACTGAGGAAACAAGGACATCCAAGAGTGACCCTAAAATGTTGGTGAGAGAGGCCAAAGTTGCGGGACTGGATTCCATCCATGATATTGTAAAGATTGCGCAGGACATAAGGGAATGGAGGAATAGACTGTGTGCCTTATGCGACATATAATAGCACAATAAAATTATGATATATAAAGTTTACCAAAACAATGTAAACAGAAGATGTCATCTATGGATGTTTTTTTTTTTAAATTGAATTACAGTAGCAATTTGCAGTATGCTGTTCTCTCCAAAGTGCCATCACTCATTCATAATTCACATGAATGCAAACACTGACATATGACTATGTCATGGGAGACCAGCTAGGCTGATAGACTGCCCTTTGGAAAGAAATTGAAACTGCTTGGGCAGCAATCACACTGGACACTTTGGCCGGCATTACCAAAGCACTAGTTCATGAATTGTCTTGTAGCTATTGCAAACCACTTTCAGCAGACTGTGTAATTGTAGAAATCAAATGTAAATTGCATTCATCCCTTGATGTTTGTTGATACATACTTCTATAATTTTATACAGATTTTTCTTTTGTTGAAGGTGTGTATACATTTTTTGGGTGCTATCTGTATAAGCTAAGACTGGTAAAGAAAATTATAACTTTATGTAAGTAAGTTGTCAAAGAGTCTTTTCAATTGCATTTATTCTCATTGATTCCTCTGTCTCTTAGGAAAGAAAATGCTCAACGTGCTGTCAGGAGACATCGCTAACCAACATGGTGCCAGCTCTAGGAGGGGGAAATTAAAGACTTTACAATCACATGTCATTAAGGAGAAAAACATCTTCACTACCGTCATCTTGTTGCCTTATTTATATTACCTTGCCTGTCTGTTGGTGAGACAGCAGTGTCTACCCTGTATGTACGAGTGTCAGGACTATGAGCTGTACTTGTTGTAAGTGTGGCAGGACCAACTTTAGATCTGCTGCCTTCACTGAATGTTTATTTTTCCAAGATCTGAGCGAAGTTGTGCCAAGAACTTTGTCACATAATCTATACTGCACCAATATCATCTTTGTATTTTTCTTAAGGGGTGTTTTATAGAGGACCTCACTAACTGTGATATAGATTGTATGTCTTTGCTTATCATTCCTTCCTTCATTTTTTTTTAAACATTAGATTGCTTATTTTTAAAGTAACTCCTGATAAATAGACGCAGCAGTGTGGATATGACGAACTTTTAACATATTAGTGTTTGATACATATGGCAAAGTGTTTCATAACACACACACACAAAGACTTTCATATTAGTTGTGGGTATTTTTTTAAACTAGTACACGTCTTTTAATGCGATACAAGTAAAACTTTTACAGAATATAATAGTATTCTCTTTAAATTAAAGTCATTGACAGTTGTAAGCTTTGGAACACAGTTTTAGCTCACTTTTAATCATGTGTTGTATTAGATGGAAAATGATAAATCCCATGCAAACATAATCCTGCTAATTTGATTTAAGAAGTTTCACATATAATAGAACCCAAAATTATGAGGGTTCTTTGACACTTTCCATCCATTCTTGCACCGAGAGCCAAGTCAGGTACTTTTGTTTATTACCATGCCAGTCATCAACAAAGCTGCAACAACTCAAACAAGCTCCATATCTGGTGAGCTAATTGTAAGTGCATGTTGTGTGGCTTGATAGTTATATCAAAATGATCAGGAAGATGGATATTAAGTCACCAGAAGAATTTTTACATTCACACTAGTATTCGTAAAGTAAATCTACAAGACAAATTATTTTACATAAATGCTCAAATAAAATTATAAGTTACTGCTCAGATATCCTTAGCAGTCAAGAATTATTTATCAAGTGGAAACAGTTCTTCTTTAATGATCAGATTTGGTTACGCAAATGTCCTAGCATGGGTCACAAACTGGACTCTGCAGTTGAGGTCTTCACTGATGCCCCATAGTTTTGAATAAACAGGAGGTAAACAAGTCTCTGTTGTAATAATGTTGATGAAATCATTGCTGTCCAGTAACCATAACAATAGAAAAGTAAATACTAGAATTGCATTTTTCAAGTCTTTGAAAAACGTTTCACTATAAATTTGAAAACTTGTTAAGATAAAAGGTACATGGTAAGAAAATGGATAATTTCCATGGATATGCTTGGATCAAGCTATGTGAACAGCTGGTATTTTTGCTATGCAGGTACTTTTATAGATGAAAGTTGCTGATTATGTAAGATTAACAGTAAATCTGAGTGTTTCTTTCTAAGTATGTCTCCTTACACAATTTTCTTTTTAAAATCTTGAAAGTTGCTTTAGGAATGTATTACTGTTTATTCATAAATTAAACAGACAACCAAACATACAGTGTTATGACCCCAGTCATATGTTAAGTAATTAACTACTGCTAATAGACAGAAAATAAATATTTTCAGAAAAAACACTTTCTCAAGTTAAAAGTTCTTATGCTAGTTAGCATACAAACATTAACATTGATTTTCAACAGTTTAATATAGATAAATAAATTTAAAATTATTATAATTATTTCATATTGTTCAAGATTTTTCCCCCTATATATTCATTCATATTCCTAAATTTCAATTTGATCACAATTAAGTCAAAATTAATTTAATTTTTTTTAACATGCGACATATTTGTTTTTCTAACCATTTTGAAACATCACATTTACAGCATCCTCCACAATATTGTTTGCTTTAGTTTGATCTGAGTTTATCATAATTGTGTTGTGAAATATCATCACACGATATGGTGAGGTTTTTTTTTAAATATATATATATTAATATATATATATATATATAAAATATATATATATATATATATATATATATATATATATATATATATATATATATAAAAATCGGCTGTATGGCTTGAGACCAACATGTTATTTGTGTCTTTTAATCAATAAATTGATCAAATGATTGTAAGTATGATGTCTATCTATCTGTTGCTGTTTACATGAGTGTAGATATTGTGTTATTATTTGTTGAACATCAGTGAATAAAGAACCTTGTGAATTTCTGTATTTTGCTAAGTTTTTTTTTTTTTTAAATTAAAAGTCACTAATGAGACACAAAAGGGAGCCACTGTGTGTAGCGGTTAGGCTCTTGCCTGTGGATCCGAAGACAATAGGTTCAAATTCAGGCAGTGCTAGACATTTTTGTTTTCAAGTGATCTTGGCTCCCAGGTCAACCTAGCCTTAAATGGGTACCGGGTCAAAGTCCTGGGAAGTAAAGGCAGTTGGCATGGGACTAAACCACATCACCCATAAAAATTAGTCCGTCAAGTATTGGTCTTAGCGTGTATGCCCAATACGCCTGAAGATGTAAATAGGTGCCCTTTACTGAGACACAAAATCAAAGTGATTTAGAGATTTTTCGGTGATGCTTGGTCTGTCCCGGAGACACTGAAAAATTACCCTGTATCAACATTTCAGTAGATTCCTGGACACAGTGTCCTCATGGCAAATGAAATTCCTAATAATCTGGCTAAAACAACAGTCATAAAACAGCTTTTGTTGGGAGGGAAAATAACAGTCCCACAAAGGAGTACTACTTTCATAGAAAGTGGTATTATTAGAACACTGGGATCTAAAGCGGGAGACCCAGGTTCAGATCCTTGGTAAAGCTAGGGATTTTTTCTGTCCGAGGCCAAAAACAATATTCACCTGCACAGTCATGGTGACAGCACTAGCCAGGCGGCCGTCAATCCTCAAGCTCAAAGACCCTCCTGACTACACCACAAAAGAGGTAAAATAAAGGCAGTAATTGGCAGTTTGGTATTTTTCTGCCAAAAGTAGACAACAGAGCAGTTTTGTGATCAACAACAAGACATCAATAAGACTGATGATAACTTTCTAGCAATGACAAGTTTATGGTGCTCTAATATGATAATTATCTCCAGTTTGAATATATTCATTAACAATAAGCAGATTTACTACACTCAAACAAGTACAGGAATTCAAAAATTGTGTAAAAGGTGTGAGAAAGATCAAGGAAGATATGGATAGACAATAAGATTAGTCCTGCAAAAAGTTGAACAAATCCATCTTTCAAGCTGCTCCAGAAAAACAAGATAAATACAGAAATCCACAACACTAGGCTATAATCCAGTAATGATATGATGATAACAGATGATAAAATAACTATACACAAGTGTTTAGTTGGTTGAAAGTATTCTCAAGATGGTGACTTTTAAAATATAGTGTGTTCTCCGTGTTATCTTAGGAGATTGCAACTATTTGAGGGAGACTGGTGTAGAGCTGTTTCTTAATCCAACACCAAACTTTCATCTCCAGCGTGTTTGTTACAGAGCTTTTTGTCACTTCTCCAGGCTCAGAAATCAGTGGGGTAATGCAAAATCAGTAGTGGAACGTCATATTTTTGGAGACACATCTTGTTCCTTGGAGCATTAGTTAGATTGGACCCAAAGTTGGTGGACAGGCCGCACAAAACTGAAAGACTTCAAAGTCTTACCAATATTGCTCCCAGTCCTATGGCCAACCTCATTGATTAGTTACAGTTAATCTTCTTCTTCTTCACAGCATTCATTAGCTGTAAACTCTGGCAGAAAGTTCTGGTTGTGTGTCCACTTCTGGACTTATTTAATCTTATTTTAGAACTTGATTTTTGTATGCAGACTGTTGGGTTTCTCTCCTCTCAGGCAGATGCACTCTGATTTTGAAGGAAACTCATAATTAGTTGATTTTTACAACATGGTTGTTGGGGGAGGGGGGAAATCAGTGGGTCTATTCTTTTTTTTCCTTCACAATGTTACCCTATAACCCACACAGAAACACAATTATTCTGAACTTGGGGAAGGTAACTGACATTTCCTGTGAATTGTGTAATTGTTCATGTGCTTTTTTACAGTTAGGCACATACTCAAAAAAATCAACCTATCAAAGGGTTTCAATCACAATTTATACTGCCTGTTCTGCACTTGTTAATTTTTAATATTTTTCTTTTCCTCACTGAAACATCGACTACAAGGCCTGCTGGAACTGAAAGAATTCAGATGAAACCATCACAATCATCATCATCATGATGGGCCATTACAAGTCACATTATGGCTCACAAACTATTCCCCCATTCCATTATATCTGTGCATACCTTCTAATGTTATGGATGGAATCCAGTCCAGCATTTTTGGCCTTTCTCATCAATGTTTCCCTCAAAGTTTCTCTTAGATCTAATCATTCCTCAATGAATTTGTTTCCAATTTCAATGCATTTGAATATGAGGCCAGAAGAATAAAATTTTAATTTCTTTTTCTGCATCCATTGGATCATAGCCCCTCAACCTGCTCATACCTAGTTGTCTTATCTTGACTTCATAGTTGGTTTTATCTTTTGCAGCAAAGTATTCTGCTGGTTAGGGTAGCCAGTCCCAAAATCAACTCTCCTTAGTCATTGCTTATAACATGCTTGTTGGGACACAATATTACCCTTCTTTGCTTCCGCTAAGGTAGCTTTGGTATTTTACGAATAATAATTCAAGACATGAACACAATCTACAAATGGCTATCTTCCGAATAACAGTCTCAAATTATTGAGGCAGAAAATCTACCCTAACAGGGTACATGTCAATTGCGTACTTCCTGGGACTATACCACCGCTGCATAATTGCAAATTTTCGGCGACTTTCCCCACCGCCGAGAGTATCCCCCACGCCACGTCTCCCTCACGCCACATGGATTGGGGCTAAACTAGATGGCTAGGACTCACGAGAAAATAAAATTGAAGGCATCTGCAGGAAATGCGGTAGCTGCTGCTCG